GTTATTTCAGAGGGAAATGAAGATAAATTCCGCTTGAATAAATCTTCAGGGGACATTTTTGCACTAGAAGAGCTGGATAGAGAAGATGTTGACACATATGAACTTGTTGTCAAAGCTCATCCAAACCCAGATTATGCATATACACCAAGTATTATGGCCTCAGACCAAATTGATTGGAGTGATACAACATTGCAGTGTGTAGAAATTGATGTGACAGATATAAATGATAATGCTCCAGAATTCACAAAAGATTTATATACGGCAGGTATGGCAAGGACTTTCATTAGATTATTCATTCCAGGGGTTCTGCTTTCTGCCAGATTCCTATTAGGGCCAAGTAGACAACAGGTAGTTCCAATAGGGAAAAGTGGACAGCAGGTAGTTCAAATAGGGCCAAGTGGACAGCAGGTAGTTTCAATAAGGCCAAGTAGACAACAGGTAGTTCCAATAGGGCCAAGTGGACAGCAGGTAGTTCCAATAGGGCCAAGTGGACAGCAGACAGTTCCGATAGGGCCAAGCGGACAGCAGGGAGTTCCAATAGGGCCAAGTGGACAGCAGGTAGTTCCAATATGGCCAAGTGGACAGCAGGTAATTCCAATGGAGGGCTAGGTTGACAGCAGGTAGTTCCAATGGGGCCAAGTGGACAGCAGGTAGTTCCACTGGGGCCAGATGGACAGCAGATAATTCCACTGGGGGCCAAGTGGACAGCAGATAGTTCCGATAGGGCCAATCGGACAGCAGGGAGTTCCAATAGGGCCAAGTGGACAGCAGGTAGTTCCAATATGGCCAAGTGGACAGCAGGTAGTTCCAATATGGCCAAGTGGACAGCAGGTAGTTCCAATGGGGCCAAGTGGACAACAGATAGTTCCAATGGGGCCAAGTGGACAACAGGTAGTCCCAATGGGTTCATGTGGACAACAGGTAGTTCCAATGGGGTCAAGTGGACAGCAGGTAGTCCCAATGGGGCCAGGTGGACAACAGGTAGTTCCAATGGGGTCATGTGGACAACAGGTAGTTCCAATAGGGCAAAGTGGACAGCAGGTAGTTCAAATAGGGCCAAGTGGACAGCAGGTAGTTCCAATAAGGCCAAGTGGACAACAGGTAGTTCAAATAGGGCCAAGTGGACTGCAGGTAGTTCCAATAAGGCCAAGTAGACAACAGGTAGTTCCAATAGGGCCAAGTGGACAGCAGGTAGTTCCAATAGGGCCAAGTGGACAGCAGACAGTTCCGATAGGGCCAAGCGGACAGCAGGGAGTTCCAATAGGGCCAAGTGGACAGCAGGTAGTTCCAATATGGCCAAGTGGACAGCAGGTAATTCCAATGCAGGGCTAGGTTGACAGCAGGTAGTTCCAATGGGGCCAAGTGGACAGTAGGTAGTTCCACTGGGGCCAGATGGACAGCAGATAATTCCAATGGGGCCAAGTGGACAACAGGTAGTCCCAATGGGTTCAT